TGGGCGCTGATTCTGGAATACACGATTGGTGGTTCAGCTGTTGCCCGTGGCATATCCCCCAATCTGGTTTGTAACTTCACTGTTCTTGTGATTGCTAGATATCCTTCATTTTCTTGTTTTTGTTAAACTTGATTTTCCTCTTGAATATAACTGTTGGTGATTTGAGTATAACTAGCAAGCATATTTTGATTGTGAAGTGTATTTTGCCATTCATTTTTGCTTGTTGAAGCGAAGATCATTATTGTTTAACGTTGAAAACGTCTTGGCCTGAAGTCACTGCTTTAATATTGGTACTTTTCTATATCAACTGTCCATTCTTCAATATTATGAACTCACTATATTTTCTGGGCTTGAAAAAAAATTCTTCTAGGCACTGTTTTTCGGTGAAAATGGCCTGCCTTCATTTGTAGCGCGTCATCAAATTCCTGGCCTGGATGTTGTTGTTGATCCGTGTGCCGCCATTCTAGTCTTTGTTGTTACTGGGCTCTTGTGTCTTGGAATAAAGGAGGTACATCCTTCATATGTTCTTGATTCCCCTGTTAAGAGAAAATTTAATGTCATGGTTAATAATTTTTTAAAATTAAAAGAAAGCATCTCTTTGGTGCAGAGCACATTTGCTCAAGGAATTGTAACAACAGCCAATGTGTGTGTCATGCTATTTGTCATAGTAGCTGGCTGTTACCTCGGGTTCAAGACCGGTTGGGTTGGTTATGAACTTCCAACAGGGTAAGATGAGAGAGTCCAGGATGTCGTGGCCGATGTTCATATTATAAGATAGACTCTGTTTGAAAAATACCCTTATCGATTCTCAGGTACTTCCCATTTGGGGTGGATGGGATGCTTGCCGGGTCTGCAACTGTCTTCTTTGCCTATATCGGGTTTGATTCAGTTGCCAGCACTGCTGAGGAGGTCTCGTTCCACCACTCTTCAATTTCTGCATTACTTTTCATGTTGTCGTCTTTGTTTGAGAACCTTTAGCTTACATAGATTGTTCCCCACTTCTGTGGCAGGTGAAAAATCCCCAACGTGATTTACCGCTCGGTATTGGTCTTGCGCTCTTCCTTTGCTGCTCTCTCTACATGATGGTCTCTGTTGTTATTGTCGGTTTAGTTCCTTACTATGCCATGGATCCTGACACTCCGATATCTTCTGCATTTTCAAGTCATGGAATGCAATGGGCTGCGTAAGTACATGTTTGTTCATTCATTCCTTTTAATTTCTGTTGCTACAGAATTGCACGAGACTGATTTCGTTTCCTCCCTTGAAATGTAGATTCGTGATAACGGTTGGAGCTGTCATGGCTCTTTGCTCGACACTGATGGGTTCGCTTCTACCACAGGTAAACTATGAAGCATGTATACTGATAGGTAGAGTAATGCATCAAGATCTTCCGGGTTAACATTTACCGATAATTTGTTCGGAAAAAAAAATACTTTTTCGGTTGGTGTTTGGATACCTTTCTGGTCTAATGCCAATGTTAAGTCATGTTCGTGAACTGTAATCACTACCACGACCTCAATGCAACTGTGTTTTACATTTTCAGCCTCGAATTTTAATGGCAATGGCTAGGGACGGCCTGCTGCCTCCGATTTTCTCCGAAGTTAACAAAAGCACTCAGGTTCCTGTTAAAGGGACGGTGGCAACTGGTATTTGTGCCGCAACATTGGCGTTCTTCATGGACGTTTCACAGTTGGCAGGCATGGTAAGCCACTGTTATTCTTATTTTTTGTATCTTCTATAAAAGGAGAAGTTTTCCGGTTAAATCAGAGAATTGATCAAAGGAAATTACTTTCACGAG